TAAATTTTGGCGCACATTCCTGACTAGTTGTTTAAATTTATTCCTCCTTGATCAATCACAACCCAGCAACTAGCCTTCTTAGTAACATATATTTAGAACTGATTGCTTTAAAAACTTAAATAGCTTAAAATCAAACTTAAAACTTAACTTAAAAAAATTTAAAAAACTTAATAGAATAATTTTATTTAAATTCAAAATGGATAAAATTGAGAAAATTATCGGCTATAAATAAACATAAAAAATTAAAAAAAGGTTTTTTTCATGTGAGGGATATCATTTCAATTGATAGCTTTTTGAATTTTTGAATTTTTTTGAAAAATGCACTATCGATAAGATTAGTTCAGTTCAAAATTAAAAAAAAATATTTTTTTATTCATGGCCTCTACAATAAACAAACACGTGTCTTTGTTTTAAAAGATCACACTATTTATTTTAATAATTGGGATATGTTTTTAAAAAAATTTTTTTATTTTTCAAAATATTTTTTTAATTTTTTATTCTTCAAAATATTAAAAAATTTCTTGAGTAAAATGAAGACTAAGTATTAGAGTTGGGCAGTTGGGCAAATTAATATAAATTAATTTGCCCCTTAAATTTTTATACTGAGGAGAATAAAATAAAAAAATACCCAAATTTATGAAAATTCTGCTCTATTACATATTTATAAACGTTCTATCGTAATAATTACTTAATAACAATTATACGAACTTTTGTGAATTTAAACAAAAATTAAACAAAAATAATTTAAACAAAATAATTGTTACTAATCTTACAGATAACTTTCTGATAATTCTGTTTTGTCATGGTCTTCCACTTTTGATAAAAAAATTTTGCTGCTTTTCAACATTACCCATATTCCTTACTAAGTATGAATGCAATAAATAATGGCTTTTAATTTCTCTAAAGTATTTTCACAAAACTTGCCTATCAAGGTAACGAGCCAAAATAATTTAACCAACTCTCTTATGTGACAGAAAAAACAATAGGAAATTACACTTACATATCTAAATGTTCATCCATATTTTTGAAAGTCCTAAATATCATAATGAATCCTAAAAATCTTATATTTGGTTTCCGATTTGATGTAGCTGTCAGGCTTTCTTGGTTATTCACAAAGTCCTGATTCAGTCTGAAATTTTTCTAATTTGTTTGAAAGGATTTTCCAAAAGACGGACTAACAGCATTAAATGTCTTATGTATGAAAGAGCTCGGCGAATTGAATGGAAAGTCCTCTAGCCAAATAAGTGCCGAATGAGTTTTCATTGGCAATTTGTCCAATACCATTTTTCAATAAATTTTTTTACAGTGAAAAAATTTTTTCCGTGTATTGATTTTCAATGCCGTGTCGATTTTTATATGGCTATATGAAGGGTAGAAAGGATAATGAGTGTAGATGATAGAGAAAAAAAATTTTATAAAGTGTATAGAGGGAAAGTTGCAGACAAAATTTAATAAAAAAATATAGAAGGGAAGGGCTTTTAATTTTTATTTTTGAAAATCCCCAATAGACTCCTTTCAATTTCACTCAATTTTAATTTATAAACATTTAATTTAATTTATATATTTAATTTAATTATTCAACATCGTCAATAACGAGGTTAGAATAATGTTTTAATATTTTGAATTATAAATCTATCTATAAACAGTTGAATCTCAGAAAAAGATTCGGACTTTCCAGGCCAAACTAAATATAATATACTTTTTTTAATTGTTGTTAGCCAGTTCGATAGGGTGCATGCTTAGCAATAACATAGATTTATATGCAATATTTAATTTCGAATAGTTTATCATAAGACAAGAGAAAAACAACGCTTTTTAAAAAAACATTTCTAAAATTTTTGTTTCAGAAGGAAAATGCTCCTTCGCTCAATTACATTCCTTCTGGGAATTGTATCATTAGCATCTTCTATGATGCATGGAGAAAGCTCGCGTAAAACCATGCGTAGAAACAATTCATTGAAGAAACGCTTCAATATATTAGAAGCAGAGGATTTGGAAGTTAAGAAACGCGCGTTGGTAATAACTACTAATCGTGATTCAATGTATTTTAAAATGAATAGTGCTTTTGCCTATGTCTTGAGTGACATCTTCAATGTGGTATGTTTAAGAGTTTAATAAAAGAAATTTGGGAATAAATTATGGAAAAATTCATAAACTAAAATTACGTTACAATTTTCCTTGATATACGAACTCAAGTTTTTTCTCACACTAGTTAGAAGCAGAGGCTGTGGAAGCTTATTCGATTCGTTTTCGAGTTTTTCGAGTTTGGTTTTTTTGATTCGGTTCGTTTTCGAGCTGAAAAGCATCGGCTCACTCGATCTTTCTAGTTTCGGTTCGAGCGAGCTGGCAACCCTACTCACTAGAATATAGAATAAAGATTTTATCTGCAAACTCCTCGATTTTGGTATTGGTCATTATACATATTTTACTGCCAAGATAATTTTAAATTTTTACTTTAAGCACTTTTTAATTTTAAACACCATAAATGAGAATGAGGGAAAAATCAAAGAAGGAATTGATAAAGCATTTATTCAATATGATGAAAAAATACCAATTAAAAACTCTTTGCCAAATACATATAGAATAGTTAAAATAGCGGGTAAATTTGAAGAAAATTCTGCATTAAGTGTATCACAAAACAAATTTCATCATAGGGAATACGAAAATAATTACAAAACAATTAAAAATGAGGCATTTACACCTTTTAAATGTAAATTAAAATTTTATATATTTTTTTCAATTTTTTGAATAATTATTTCACTTTAATTTGTCAAATGATGCATTCTTAGATAAAATTTGTGGTAATAGTTCGGTTCGTACCCCCCCCCCCCCACTCCTTTCTCCTTCCTAGAAGTATTAATTTATTTTATTTCAGAATTTTATTTTAATCTAAAATTTTTTAAGAAATTTTGAAGTTAACTTTTTACCCCTATGATAGAGCAAAGGAAAACAAAAGTAATGAAAAAAAAGGAGAAAATATTTCGGTATATATTTAAACTTATTAAATTAGTCTTTGCTTCTTTATTTTTCCCTTAAATATTTTAAAAATAAATATAAAAAATAAAAACATTAATTAAATAAAAAATTTAATTTTTATAACGGTAAAATAAGAAGATGGTTGGTGGTTAGGTAACCTTACGACGGTGGTTAACCACGTGGTTTTCTTATTTTACCGGTTTACAATGACCTTGTGGTTACCTAACCATGGTTAGGTGACGATGGTTAGGTAACCATCGTCAGGTGACCGAGTTCTCATTTTACGGACCCTGGGGTTGATTTCTGTGTCATTCGACACAGCTCGACGAGTTCTATAACCTAAGACTGACTGACCATTTTTTAATACTTCTAGGAAGGAGAAAGGAGGGGGGGGGGGTACGAACCGAACTATTACCAAATTTGTCATGCAATCTTATGACCCAAAAATCTTTTACACCATAAAATCGCCTTATATCCCCAGAGATATTTGCGGACTTATATTTGAGGACTTGTGGGGATAGACTTTTAAGGATTGAGCATTTATCCCATATATTTCACTTGAGCCGATCACTGGCCACAATAACCAAAAATTTATTAGATAAAAATTTTATAAATTATTTTTTCAAATATGTTTTTTAGTTTTATTAGAAGATACAGAATACTCTATTTTAATTGAAAGCTTGAATAAAGCTGAATTCAACGTTGCATTTTTTGATACGTGGGAGATTGGAGATCTTTTTATTTTACTTGCTTTATCAATTGAAAATATTTTTGGGATTAACAACACGCATCTGAATTCTTATCAATTTAAATATGCTGGGAAAAAATTTCCAGAAAATGCCCCAGGTAGTATTCACACTAATATTAAGTGGCAGTGATCATTGTATGAACACTTAGAGGACAATTAGGTTTTTATGGACGGGACCCATAGATATGCAAATAACAGAAGTACGGAACTGAAGGGATATGTGACCAATCGCCTTACTCAAAAATTAATTATTTTAAATTAAGAGATATATTCTGCTAACTTTGATGATCATCATTTAGCACTGAGGAAAAAACATCAAGAATTAAAAAATTATATCGACAGTCTAAAATTATTTAGAACAGTTCACAAAGAAATGGTTACCTATATTTTAATTAAATATTAAAAATTAAACATGTACTGCTATATTTTCATCCAAGCAAAGTTCATTTTAAATGAATTTTGTGCCTACTTTGCGCAGAATATTTATATAATTTGTTTCACCATAAATTTTTGTCGAAATTATACTTGTTACAAATTCCCAATAATGTTTATTTTTATTAGGATGAATTCTTTGGAATAAAAACATCAAGTCTTTATAAGAAAATTAAAGGAATATTTATTAATAGTCATGAACTGATTGATTTTCCTCTTGGTGAATACAAACCGGAAAACGTTTATTATGTTGGTGGAATACATTTGAACAGATTGAAAAGAAAATTGGTATGTTATAAAAACGATTTAATGGATAGACTTAAAACGAAAATTGTTTTTTCCTGTCAATTTTCCCTAAAATATACCCCAGAATCTTAATTCTTATACATGTTTTCAAATTCTGATTAAATTTTGAAAATATAGAAATCAAATGAGCAAAGAAGTAATGTTATAATGAACATTGAAGATTGTAATGAATTATTTAGTAACGACAATACTGAAATATTGGATGCATTTATTTATGCTTTTTATGAAGTTGGATTAGAGCTTAAAAATTCTAATTTAAAATTTAAATATAATTGCAAAATAGACAAAGATATTTTATACAATTACACACAAGAAAGACAAGGAATTTTAAATAATATAGAGTTTATTCAGATTCATGATATGCAAAATGAATTAGGTCAGTCAAGGGTTTTACCCCGTCCCTATTTTCGAAAATTGAGAAGTTGAGGCTTCTTCTTTAATTATTCAATGAAATCTGCTTCTGAAACTCCAAAATTCTCAAAATTTTGATTTACAGAGAGTTCACTAATAAAAAATTTTCTCCTTCACCGTAAACGTCATGCACCCTTTTCAAAAAAAAATTTCAGCCAAAGGCACAACAGCTCTATTAATCATGAACTGCAGTAGTCACCAAGTAATTGAGGCAATTGCTTCAAACACGCTATTTTTGTGTGCCCCTTATAAAGATGATCAGTTTTATATTTCTGAAGCTTTGCAAATTCCACCTAGATATAAAATTGAGAATTATAATGGTAAGAATACGACTAGTAACAATGATGAATGTGTTATTGATATTGACAATTTTGAGCAATTAGCCCCGTATTTAAGCCTTAACGATATTGCAAATGGAGAGATAACTAGCGAATATATTGCAGATTTGCTGTTAACATTGCTGAAAAATGACAGGTAGATATTAACAAGACAAAATATTTTAAGAATAAGATAAAAGAGGTTACATGAGCACATCTAACTTTTCGAAATTTAGTGAGCAGTTTCTTTCTATTAATCAAGTGAAACCGATTCTCTATCATATAATCTTTATTCAATATCATTATAGTATATACAAAACAAATTTGGAGAATGCGTATGAATATTTACATTGTATATGGGATAAATCACATATGACCCCTCAACAATTATTTAAACAAATAGTGACGAAATTGTTGGACGATCGCGAAAAAGGTGAATGAAGTATGAAAATTGAAGGAAGAATGAACGAAATGTTTGAAAAAAACATGAAAAGGATATATACTTTTGATAGATATTTGATAGATATTTTTTAATTCAGTCCACTCATGCTTCGTACTATTAAGCAAACGGGGTTTTACAATCGGGTACGGGGCTTTCCTATTGTTTCGGGGCGGGGGTCGGGTCGAGGGAGCAAAATATGGTCGGGGTACGGGGGTTTTACTGGAAAAATTTTTTACATAAAAAATGCTCTAAAAATAAACCGTTTTCGTTCTATTTTCATAAATTTATATTTATTATTTTTTCGTAATCGTAATTCGTAATTAACAATTTTATTTAAAATTTCGGGATCATAATTCGTAATTAAAAAAAAAATTTTCGTAATTCGTAAAAAATGCCTTAGCTTTAAAAATTTGCCTTAGCTTTTAATTACCCCTCAATAAGTAGGCTAATATTAGTACATGGACTTCTATAATATTTGTGTGGCCTTCTAATAGTATATATACGGTAATTATTAAATATAGGACAGATTGATATTATTATGCCGTAAATATGCACATATTTGGAATTTCTATTGAAAAATCATTCTTAATTTGGACAATTATATAATTTTATCGAAATTATCAAAATAGAAGGTTCTAATTTTTATGTTCTAATTTATTATCTTCTTTATTCTTTGTTGTTTTTTGTAACAGGCTTTACATATATATTGTTCCGGCTCAGAATGACGGTACCAACTTGATGTTTTTGTAACTCGGCAAATAAAACAATCTCGATCTTGTGTTATTCGCTAAAATATTTATAGAGATATCATAAAATTCTAATGTAATAATTGAAACAAACTTTAAATAGAATCACCTTTAATAGAAATACACATTAAAAGTGATTAAATAAAGAATGCGTGGGGTTTCTATTAGATTTTTAAGGTAATACATAAAGCAGCTTGGAACTTTAAAGAATTCTATTTCATGAAGATCATGGTGATATTCATGTTATTATTTTGGCCTCTTACACAGAAATGAGCATACAATAATTTAAATAGTTTCAAATTCAAATTTTTATAACCACACCAAAAATAATTAAGCTACACCTTTTCAGTTTTAAGCCAAAATTCTTTATTTCTAAGCTTTCCATATTTAAATTTATATGCGTGACAAGCATTACACAAATAGTGTTCTTTGAGGAAATTTCGCAAATGATTACAATGTTTATTTCTACAATTGAAACAATGCTGTTTATTTTCTTCCGTAATGAAAACTGTAAAGATAAGGTGAAGAAATATATTTGATGAAGACAAATAATTTCTTACTTATTTTATTGCCAATGTAAATAATTCTACTTTTTAATTTTTTCGGATATTCAACTTTTTGTTTTTCTAACAATTCAATTTTATATCCAATTAAATTAATTTCCGTCCAATAACTTGATAAATGTTTCTTTTTATAATTTTCTATATTTTCTTTTAATAATTCTTTTTTATTTATTTTTATATTTTCTAAACTTTCATCTAATATAGAAGCTTCATAATATTTATGCTTCTTCTTAATAAATTCAGTAAATCTGAGCACCTTTTATGAATAAATTAATTTTAATTTAATTTTTCCTACGTTGAGTCTCAGTTATTCCTTGCTTTTTCATTTTTATATATTAAGCCAAGTATTAACATTCATTTTCTACACTTAAATTCTTGGAGAAAATGACCGATCGACAAAAAAACAAAAAGAAAACCTAGCCTTACTAAGTGAAACTCGAATTAGAAAAGTCGATAATTTATTATTCTTACATTTTCAGACTTTATATTCAAGTATTCAAACAAAAATACCTGTTTATCTGATCCAGGGTGAATACATTGAAAAATTTTATTTTTGCCAATATTAATCAAGATTTTCCTTTTTAATTGTTCAGCATATGCTGATCCATAATTTAGTTCAACATTAAAGATATTTCCTTCAATGTTTATTTGAATTCGACACAAAAATCCCTCAATATTAAAATTAAAGCTATTATCATACTGATTATTTTGTTTTTCAATCTTCTCTAATACAAAACGCTCTTTTAATTCAACATTTTTTAAATAAATAATTCTCTTTTTTGTTTCCAATAGTCTTTGATTTTTACTACAATACTAACTTTACTCCCATCACATTTATTCAATAAGGCAAGTAAATATAAGCAAGAAGCAATATTCAATTTTATCATCTGAATTTTAATATCAAAAATATAGTTATTTGTTATGCAAATTACTTAATACAATGATAACGAGAGTTGTTTTTCCCAATATTTTACCTGCTCTTTAAATGAGGTTTAAACGATATTAACAAAAATAAATAAAATATTTTTTCAAAGTAAATAATTAGGAAATCTATAATGTATTCAGCAATTGAGCCAAACTGATCTATTTAAGTCCTATCGTCAAAAGCATTTGACTATTAAAGTGCAAATATAAATATGTAATTATGTAATGTTTTATGAAAAAAATAAAAGGCTCAAACAATTTTGAAAGAATTTGCTTGATTTTTGCACGATTTTTATTAAATTTATATAAAACTTTTATAAAAACTAAAAAACCATTTCTACATAATTATGATTCCGTGATATAAAGATATTTTGTAAAATTCAATTTCGTTCCCCCCTCCTTTTTCCTTCCTCAAAATATTAAAAAATGGTCAGTCAATCTTAAGTTATAGAACACAGCATAAAAGTCCCGTAAATCCAATCGTCTGACAATATATGATGAAGTTAATGTTACAGTTTTTAATTAAATGTTTCATGGTGTCAGGGTTTTTTCTAGACAATTAAGTTTTCACTTTTATAGAAAATGTTTTACAAGCTAATGAATGCTTAATAGCTTAATTCTAGCTCATTGACAGTAGGACTTCTCTATATGTTTAACATTTATATAAGGATGGGCGCATTGCGTATTGCGTTATTTTTGACGAAATTAACGCAAAAATACATCTAATCTGAGACTTTTTAGAATTTTGTTAGGTCAAGGAGACTAAGGAGACTTTTTCATTTTAACTTTTTATACGTTGGAATTGGGCAATTGTCGTGGTACTCTTTAACGATCACTATTTTTAAAATTAAAATTCAATTTGTTTTTGGGATATAAATAATTAGAGGAGTGCGAAAATTCTCTTATATCCTTTTACTTTACGTTATTAGTATGGAGTGTCAAAACATACAAATGCATCATTTGCATGCGGATATGCCATAAATTGTTACACTACAATACAGCCGCATATTTAACACTTATCATATTTAATATCCAGTTTAACATATCAGTTTTATTTTAAAAATTTAATCAAAAAATATAATAAATAATCAAAGTTAGTAGAGTCAAAGCTAACATATTATTTTCGTTCTTATTTATTTGTGCAGATGATTTTGAAGAAAAATGATGTGTTGTGCCTTTAATAAAATTAGTAGATTCCTTTTTAGTCGATTCTGAGGTGGTTGTGGAATATACCAGACTAATTGTTTTTTCTCCAGCCGTTGTTGCTGATAGAGGAAGTAAAGAGTCCTCATTACACAAATCAGTGTGGTTACAATTTATACAATTTTTGAATTTGGAAGGGCATTCACCGCAGTTTTGCTCAGCTTAAAATTAAATTTTCAAATCGAAAAAGTTAAGAAAGTCCGAAAAATCATGTAGAAGTAAGTTTTATTAAAAATTTTCCTACTCCTCCAGAAGATGTCCCTAGCAATGTAGCAACTATCATAGGAGGGATGGCATGTCTTAGCTTTTCTCTCATTTGGCCGTTGATTAGTAGCAAGTTTGTAACATTTAATTTGAGATAATTTTGTTTCATCATTACAAAGTGGATGTGAACAATTAAAGCATTTTGATAGATTTTGTTGGTCAGAACATTTGCCGCAGCCTTGCACTTAACATAGTTAGAAATGTTAAATAGAGGTCTAACAAAATAGAATTGGTATTTATCAGTTATCCTGTGTCCATTTCTAAAATTTTCATGTCCACAACATTTTCTGTCTAATGAACTTGAAAACCACCCTTTAATCGACGGCAGATTTTTAGTTAATGAAATTTAAAAAAATTTACTAGAATAAATGGGAAAGAGAATGAAATGGATCTTATAATATTTGTAGTTAGTTTTCAAAAATGGGTACAGAAAACCGACAAATACCGAAAGTTTCTAATTTACCCTTTTCTCTATTATTAATCCCAACATAGCATAACCCTTTCGCACAAATTCTTTTTCCTTTAGTCGCTGTCCATTCCTTAGAATTTTTTTTCCAACAAAACAATTGACTTTCAAAAAATGTATCTGCATTACAAGCTGGTCTATTGTTACATTGGGCGCATTGAACGTTACTCATATTTATTTTCTTTATTTTGTCATGGAGAGTTGTATCTTTAGTCTTGATAAATGGAGAAAGGTTGAGAATGCCTGATGGACATTTTCCACAATCATAGTGAAATTGGTCTATCTTCTCGTCTAGATACAAGGATTAGAGAATTTATATAGTAAAAATATAGCTGCGCCGGTATCGAGCTCGTACCTAACCTATGTCACTCCTAACAGACTCACCATGCTCGGGTGTATACTTATTGAGAGTTAATTTGGTATCAGCTTTCAATTTATAGATTCGAACCTTTCTAAAAATTGATAATATTATGTCATGGGGTCTCTTCAAGTCGTTCTGGGTTTAATCACCTAGTATCTCTCCAATCCCTCTTAATCCCTCATAATCCTCATTAATCCTTCCAAGTCATCCCATCCCTAACCCGAGTCAAAATCTTACAATCCGTGAGCGAAATCCAGCATCCTTTTAAACCTCATATCAGAACACAAAACCGAAGAAAATTTAACCCAAACAATCAAAACAACCCAACTCTAATATTTATATAAAGGTAAAAGGTCTTGAAATCTCAAAAAATATTAAAAAATACACCTCCATTCTTCTCTTCAATTTTGGCAATGTAACAGTCAGATTCATTACATCTATTAAATCTTCCCATAAATCCAAAGCAATAGAAAGGAGCAGGTTTAGTTTCAATATTGCAACGATGACCTTCACATTCTTCACATGTATGGAAAGGGCACTTTCCACATCCTTTTTTAACTTTAAAAAATTTTAAGAGGGCTTAAAATTTATTTTTAAAACCCTCATTTGTTTGAGTTCTCCATGTATAGCAAGCATCGTGAAATTTTGTTTTGCAAATTTTATTTTCATCTGTCCAG